TTATGCCCCCCCGCCCCTCCCTATCCCCATCACAAATCTTCAGCCCCCTCCCCCCATCTGTCTCCTCCTTCACTCTCTCCCACCTCATGCCTCTCCTCCCCCACCTCGTCTCCTAGGAGATGCCCCCCCTCTGATGACGCCCCAAGTGGCATGGGGTAGAAAAGCGCTTCAGGGTTTTTGCCACACCCTCCCTGCAATCTGGCGAGATGGTCTACGCCAATACAGAAGCGCGCAAGACCTGGAGGATAGAGCTAGACCAGGGCCTCTCCTTTTTTCCCCCCTTCCCCCTCTTCTTCTCCTCCCTCCTCCTCCCTCCCCCTCCCTTAATTTCCTTCGCTTGTATATAGGTTCAGAGTTCCCCCGTGAGTTTCCCTTTCCCCATTTTTCACGAGCAGATTTGGACTGCGGCAGGGCACGGTATGCTCGCTTCATAAAGGCTGCGCCTATTTGGCGATAATAATGTTGTTCATCTCGATGGTTTCCTTTTTTTACAAACAATGGATTGGGCTGATTGGAATTTCTAGTATTGCACGCTTGGTGTCAACGATACCCCCCTCTTCCTCCTCCTTCCTCCCCCTTTCCCCGTCCTTCGCACCGTTCCTCTCGCCACTACCCCTCTTTTTCGCTCTCCCTCTCCCCCGTTCTCCTCGGTGGGTCATCCCCCCTGCTCCTCTCCCTTCCCGATGACCTTTCCCCCGCCCACTTCTAAACGTCACCTTGCGTATGGAACAGTAGGATGCATGGGTATGGGACTTGGAATGATGACTCGAGAAGTGGAATTGCTTCGATATTTTTGCCTTCTTTTTGTTTTTTTTTCTGGCTTGCTGATGGTACTGTGACCCGAAAGGACTTATCGAGTAATGTGATCACTTCGTTTTTTATCCACTTTGTATGGCTTGCTGATAATATTGGAATAATCAAATGGCCCCGACTTTTGATTTTCGTTTTGGGCATCTATAAAAGTAAGGACACCGGTCGGTGTGTGGATGCGTGCTCTGGAATAGAACAGTGGGATGCATGGGGGTGGGACTTGGAATGACGATTCGATAAGTGTGAGCGCCTGAGTATTTTTGCCTTCTTTTTCGTTTTTCCTGGCTTGCTGATGGTATTGCAACTGAAATTGATTTATCGAATAGCATAGTTGCTTCATTCCGTATCCACTTTGTGATAGCTTGCTGATTATGTTGCACGCCCGGCCGTGGCCGGGGGTTCCGAATCGGCCGCGGCCTCGGCCGATGGCCGAATCGGCTCGGTTCGGCCTAGGCCGACCAGCCGAGTTGCGTGCAAGATTTTTTTTTTTTTTTTAATGCATGAAAAAAATAATAATAATATGGGCGTGTAGGGCTAAAAAAACCCTACACGCCCATATTTCTTTTGGGGGCATTATTGTTTTCAATTGCATAACAAAAAATAAAAAAAGAAAAAAGAAAAAGATTTTTTTTTTTTTTTCAAAACCCCGTGCAAGTATGTGTGTGTGTGTGTGTGTGTGTGTGTGTGTGTGTGTGTGTGTG